TGTGTGTGTGTGTGTGTGTGTGTGTGTGTGTGTGTGTGTGTGTGTGTGTGTGTGTGTGTGTGTGTGTGTGTGTGTGTGTGTGGGGATTTATGAACCTTACAAAATTTATAATCAAAATCATGGTGAGAAAGATATAGTTTTTGTGCATGACAAATGAGATATAATTAAAAACCGATTTTTGGGTGTATTGAAAGTATCAGATTGGTTGTTCATGGTGGATGGTGAATTGATAGTAGTGGCAATATTGTAACTATTTGATGAAGATGAAGGTAATAAAATAAAATAATCTTTTTTGAAAAATGACATTTTCGTGAATAATCCAAATATTTGGGATAAATAGAGCAAATAAAAATTCTCAAAAAATCATTGGTTAATTTTGCAATTGAATTTTTATTTTGAATCATTTTTGCAAAAAAGAAATAAACACTTTATACTTACTGCAAAGTGTATTGATTTTATAAATAGTTTTATTTGTCTTAAATATTATTAGTCAAATAAATATATTTGATAAAAATATAAACACATTTCAATAATTTTTCTAATTTATGTGGAAAATGTGAGAGTGATATGTTGTTAAGAAACAAAGTACTTGTGGTTTAGAGCATGATTAACCCTACAACCTCATTAGAATCTCTTAATGATTTTTTTTTAAATAATAAATGTTAGTTAAAAATTTTACTTAAGAGATACCAACATTTGTTGCTGGGAGACAGACATCAGATAACATAATGATAGCCCAGGAATTGTTCCATGCCTTAAGAACAAAACCAAGTGGGCGACACAAGAGGATGGCCATCAAAACAGACATGAGTAAGGCATATGATCGTATGGAATGGTCTTTCATTGAAGCCACCATGAGAAAGATGGGGTTCTCGGAAGTCTGGATTGCTTGGATTATGCGATGTGTAACAACAGTGAAGTATAAGGTCCTTATGAATGGACAACCAAGAGGGGATATTGTCCCGGAGAGAGGTCTACGTCAGGGAGATCCTTTGTCCCCTTTCATTTTTATTCTATGCACGGAAGCGCTCGTTAGCCTTCTTAATCACGCAGAGAATCAGGGAAAGATAACGGGGATGCGCATCACGCGTGCGTGTCCGTCGATATCCCACCTACTCTTTGCTGATGATAGCCTTTTCTTTTGTAAGGCGGAGCCCCGTGAATGTGAAGAAGTAATGAAAGTGGTTAGGAAATATGGACAAGCCTCTGGACAGTGCATTAATTTTGAGAAGTCTTCTTTGCTCTTTGGCAAGAGAATCGGTCCAGAGACCAGACAGGAGATCAAAGATTCACTTGGGATTCAAAATGAAGCAGGAATGGGAACCTATGTAGGGATACCAGAGGATATCAGTGGCTCGAAATGTAGACTATTTGCCTTCTTAAAAGACAAGCTTCAGCATAGAGTGAATGGATGGACGGGAAGGTGGTTATCTAAAGGTGGAAAGGAAGTAATGATCAAGTCAATCATATTAGCTCTCCCAACCTATGTTATGTCTTGCTTCTTACTCCCATTGGAGATATGTGATGCCTTGGCTAGTGCCATTGCACAGTTTTGGTGGAGCTCAAACCCACCAAAGAGAGGTTTACACTGGACAACATGGGATAAGCTATGTCTATCAAAGGAGGAAGGAGGAATTGGATTCAAGATGATACATAAGTTTAACCTGGCGTTATTAGCAAAGCAGTTGTGGAGACTAGCCCAAAATCCAGATTCATTGGTAGCTCGAGTTATGAGAGGGCGATATTACTGTCTGAGCTCGCCTTTGCATAAACTCAATGTCAGTAGTCCATCATATGTGTGGACAAGCATATCGGCCGCACGTGAATTATTGCTATTGGGGGTTAGACATAAAATTCACTCAGGTTATGAAGTAAAGGTATGGGAGGACCCATGGATTCCCACAATCCCAGCAAGACCAGCGCATGCAACTGTTCCGGTTCTGAATCCGAATATGAGAGTGAGTGATCTTATCAATCAAGATACAAAGTCTTGGGACCTTGATCGGCTGACAAGCTATGTTGACGCTGTTGATATACCTCTCATAAGGAGTATGACAGCTAGTTCAACCCATCGCAGAGACACACACTGCTGGAGTTACACAAGGAGTGGGCAGTACACTGTCAAGTCCGGTTATTGGGTAGCTCAAAATATAATGAACGAGAAGGAGGACCTGGTAGATGAACCTAGCATTAAAAGGCTACAAGAACAAGTCTGGAAGGTGAAAGCTCCCCCGAAGATGTGCCATCTTATGTGGCAGATTATTTCGGGACAGGTGGTTGTTACGAGTGCGCTGAATCGTAGACACGTGCGATGTGATAATTTCTGCCCACGATGTGGAGAATGTTGGTGTCGAAAACCGTAATCTCGAAATCAACGTCTGCGATAGCTTCTGTAAAAGATGGAACCATTATTTTCCGCAAAATCATTTTATAAAATGATTAATACCGTTTTATAAAACTCGAAGATCGTTTTATAAAAACTCGAAGATCGTTCTATAAAACTCGAAGATCGTTCTATAAAACTCGAAGATCGTTTTATAAAACTCGAGAGATCATTTTATAAAACTCGAGAGATCGTTTTATAAAACTCAAAGATCGTTTTATAAAACTCGAGAGATCGTTTTATAAAAACTCGAAGATCGTTTTATAAAACTCGAAGATCGTTTTATAAAAATCGAGATATCATTTTATAAAACTCGAGAGATCGTTTTATAAAACTCAAAGATCGTTTTATAAAACTCGAGAGATCGTTTTATAAAAACTCGAAGATCGTTTTATAAAACTCGAAGATCGTTTTATAAAAACTCGAAGATCGTTTTATAAAACTCGAGAGATCGTTTTATAAAACTCGAGAGATCATTTTATAAAACTCGAGAGATC